CCCGGTGCCCCCGACGCCCAGCATCTACGATGACATCAACTGATGGCGGCCGCAGGGATGGCCTTTGGCTGAGCAGAGCCTCTGACCCTCGCTGGCGGCACTGCCTGGCACCCGGATGCTGCTGGGGTCCAGGCTCAGCGAGCACGGGGGACCAGGCAGGTGGAGGGTCCGCGTGCGTGCCCCTGGGGGCGCCGGGGTCCTCTGCAATGGAGCCAGCCTCGGCGTGCAGGCCTCAGACCTGGACACGATCACCTTGGACACAGTTTGGTGGGAGGTGGTTTTCCTATTTATTCTGTGAGTTACTGGATGTCCGGCTGGGCGGGGGCCTGGCCTGGCCACTGCCCCGAGCTGCCTGCCCCGCCCCAGGAACCGGACCTCACCCCTCGGAGGCCCAAGGCAATGTGAAGGGGTCTGGGCTGGCCAAGGCGGGCCGGGCATAGAGTCGCTCTGCCTGTCTGGTGGGCACCAGTGGCCGGCTGCCGGGTGGTGCCCAGAACTGCACTGCCTCCCTGCCCCAAGGCAGCCCCTCCATCCCCGAGGGTTCCCGGGCAGCCGCAGCTGTCCCTTGTCGGGTGCCAGGAGAGGGCCACAGCCTCGAAGCTTCAAGGAGCAGAAAGGGGAGGGCGGGGAGGGGTGGGCTGTCACCCGGACCCTGCCCTCCCTCCAGACCCGACCCTGCAGTGGCAAGGAGGGGCCACGGTGAGGGAACGGTGCTGCTTTATTTGAAATGTTTTCTAACCTCATTCCCTGCCCAGGGAAGGGCGCAGCCTCGCCCTCCTGGGGTGGCCCCATGTCCCCTGTGCCCACCCTGCCCCAGCCCAGCCCCAAGCTGCTGCCTGCCACCTTCCCCTAGACCACTCATCCTGCTCTGTCCCAGCCTCCAAGCTGCCCTGTCCCCTCCTGCGCCACTTTTAAGTTATTTATTCTGTACTTGTGCTTTGGGGCTTCGAGGAAAATCCTTACCTTGTGCCTCTCCCCATGCTAGGAGTGGATGGGAAGGGGGTGGCTCTGCGCCCCGGGCCGATGGAGGGCAGGGTGTTGTCACCCCATGGGATGTCGTGCCAGTGTGCCCACCGGGCTGTTCTACATCCAGAGAGATGTACAGCTCCTCACGGGCACCGTGCGCCAGGACAGGTGCCCATCTGGGCCGGAGCTGCCCTGTCCCGTCCCCTGGTATGCGCTGGGTGTGTCCCACGATGGAGTGGCTGGTCCCCAGGCCTGCTCGGACTGACTTGGGTTAGGGACCCTAGAGGGTCGTGGGAACAACTGGGCAGGGCTGTGGGACCCCGTCTGGAGGCCCAGTTTCCCCCTGGGGTGCTTCTGATTGTGGCTGATGCCTGGTTACAAACTGGTTTTTAACCCAAGCGCTGTCATTATTTTTTAAAAAGCCAAAACCGTTTTGGCAGGAGGTAGAATAAATCCGGGGTCCTGGGCGCCTCTCTTCTCGGCCCTCGCAGCCGCCTCCCTCTAGGGGCCACCCGGTCAGGAGTGGGCTGGAGGCCAGGGGCACAGAGCTGCCCCCTGCCATGGCCTGGCCTCCCTGTGGGTGAGGAGGGAGCAGGACGCAGTCTGGGAAGGGTCTGTACACGCGCTTCCCCGGGTCCCGGCCAGCTGGTTCTGCACCCTTCCTGGCTGGGTGAGGAGGCAGCAGACCCCTGCCCCAGCTTGGAGCCCCCTCCTCCCAAGGGCAGGCTGGGTCCTGGCCAGTGCTGCTGCCCTGCATCCTGCCCTGTGTCTGAGAGGGGTCTGTACTAATCCCACGGCCGGTGGCTTCCCTTCCATGCACCGCTCCCCGCTCCACAGGCCCAGGGCCACCCGCCTGGCATCACCACATGCTGGGGTCATTGGTGGGGAGGGCTCACACTGTCCTGTGGTCTTGAGATTTTTATTTTTGCATATAATCCATCCTGTACAGGTAGCTAACTTGGTAAACGCTGTGTACCCTCTGCCCTGGCTGCTAGTGTAAATAAACTGCATCTCCCGTTGGTAAAAACAACAACAACAACAAAAAGATATGCAATTTTAATATAATTCCTATTAAAATCCCAGCAATACTTTTTGTAGACATAAACAAAATTAGTCTAAATTTTAAGGAAAGGTAAAGGAGTTGGAATAGTTAATTTTTAAAAAGAAAAATTATTCAACCCAATTTCAAGATTTATAATAGAGCTATAGTAACTAAGATTAGTATTGGCAAAAAAATATGTAGACACAAAAAAATCAATGGAATAGAGTAGAAAATCCAGAATTGCACTCATACAAATTAGTCCAATTGATTTTTTGATTGAGCTACAAAAGCAAATCATTGGAGGAAGAATAACTTCTTCTTTTTCTTTCTTTTTTTTTTTTGGTACTGGGGATTGAACTTGGGTCCTTCCACTTTTGAGGCAGGCAGTGGAACCACTGAGCTAAATCCCAGAATAACTTCATTTTAATAAATGGTGCTGAAGAAATTATACATCCATGGTGGGAGTGGGGGAAGGGAGAGAGAGAGAGAGAGAGAGAGAGAGAGAGAGAACACCTAATTTAAATCTCATGCCTTATATAAAAATGAATTCAAAATCGATCATGGGCTTAAGAGTAAAATAATAAATCTTTTAGAAAAACAATTTAAGAGAAAACCTTTAGGATCTAGGGCCAAAGAGTTCTTAAATTAGATACCAAAAGCATGATCTATAAAATGAAATATTGACACTTTGGACCACATCAAAATGACCAATGTTGACTCTGAGAAAGATCCTATTAAGATGAAAAGACAAGTTACAGACCAGGAGATAGTATTTGCACACCTTATATCCAACAAAAGGCTGGATCTAGAGTGCATGAAGAACTCTTAAAATTTCACAGTGAAGACAAGTCAACCCTAATTTAAGAGAGGCAAAAAAACATGAACAGGCATTTCACTGAAAATAGATTAAAAATGTGCTCAGGAAAAGATCAGCATCACTTGCCATCAGAACAATGCAAATTAAGACCACAATGAGATAACATCACACACCAACTGCAGTACACCCAATGTGAAGATGTGGAGAGGTCAAAGGCCCGTGCCCTGCTGGGAATGGTGTTAGGACCTGTGACAAGGGACAGCGTAGGGAGAATGGACACATCCGTCAGGGTTCCTCTCAGCTAGAAAGGGGCCAAGAGGCCAGGGTGCTCCCAGAGCGTCCTCTGCAGGGATCCTGGGACCCTTTGCTGGGACGGTGGAGGGAGGGGGTCATTCACGCACGTCCTGGGGGCCGCTGGCTGCAAAACATCATCCAGGCCAGTTCTCAGGCCCACAGCCAGGCCCAGATGCCTGGCTGTCCTGTGCTCACCTCCTGGGGACCAAGTGCACGCTCCTCACACCACATCCTCAACGTCCCTCACTTTCTGCCTCTGCATTGTTCTCGCTGGACCCCAAGGCCCCCAGATGTCTTCCTCCTGAGCAGCTCCCCAATATTTGTTGAGTGACTAAGTCCCAGACCCTTCACACCACAGTATTATCCCAAATGATTGTTTACTGCCTAAACTAGGAGACACGACTATGTTTTCTTTAAAACCAATATCTACATAGCTGTGCTCATATTTATTTTTAATTTTTTTTTACTGAAAAGCATACTGCCAGCAATGCACTTGCAGAATTAGGCAAGAACATCTGCCAAGAAATCTCTTCACTGACAACAAAGTCCTCATGCTGAATTCCAGCCACTCCACAATTAATAATGGGAAGGAAATCCCCCCCACACACCCGGGGTCATCTCTGAAAATTTTTAGAAAAGGCACGTTACAGGGATGTGTAACGTCCACATCTGTTTTTTAGGAGTATTTCTATTGATGAATTATTAATTTTAATTTTATGAGTTTTATTATACTAAACAATGTGTACTTAACAGGAAAATAAAATATCAAATATGTAACGAGTGTTTAGAATGCACATCAACATTTGCAACATCAACTGTTTACCTGCTTACAAGATCTAAAAAATAACAGCAGAAATAAATTCCTATGTGAACTACAATGAGAATACAAACAAAACTCAACCGCAGAAATAGTCTCCTTCACTTGTCACACCCAAGGCAGCTGTCCCACATGACAACGCATGTCCGTACCCAAGCCTCGCTCACACTGGCAGCACGTGTGTGTAGTCTTCCTGTCTTTGGTGGACGCACTTGGCATCTCGCTGCTCTTCCTGTTCTCAGGAGTTCCTGTGATGTTTCACCTGTCTGTGCACCAGTCTGCTCCAGAATTCTGTTGCAGACGTATATTCTTTGGGCAGATACATACTGTTTTCCCTCTGTTGAACCAATCATTCATCAATTCCAGTCCCAATGCTCTAAGAAATTTCTCTGTGACATTTCGTGCTTATTGTTTTCTATGTAAACCATGAAACTATTTATGCCCGACATATTTAGGATCGAGCAAAACACAACCATTGGACAACGCTTCACATTTCAAGTAACATCATAGTTGCTGCATAAGTCATCAACAATATCTACTCCATCTTTCATTTTGTTGTAAAATGTGACCATTTCTGGCTTCATTTGTGTTGAGGATTCACTATCAATTTTTTTTTGTTTATTTGTTTGTCTGTTTTGAAGTAAGGTCTTGTTATGTAGGCCAAGCTGGCCTTGAACTCACTGTGTAGCACAGGCTCTCCCCTTGAACTCAGAGGATCCTCCTGCCTCAGTCTCCAGAGTGCTGGGATCACAGGTGTGCACCACCACATCTGGCCCCACTATCAATCTTATCATCATAGTATAATGTTGACAGTGTCAATACTAGTTTGTTTTTCTTCACCATATAGGAGGGCAATGTTGTGTCTTTCTGAAATCCAAAGACTGTACTATACATTTCTATATTGTGAACTTACAACATTTTTTCAGGAATCTTGGCTTTGTTCTGTGTAGTTCCAAGCTTGTCACTTGGTGCCGTTTGCCAAATGTAACATTAGTAAGTAGTGAACCAACTGTCAAATGTGACACTTGGATCACTTTTTGAAATAAGTGCACCAAGTCTGTACACAATGTCATACGGTTTATTACTGCACGAACTGAGACCTAGTGGCTGAGTTCCAGGATAAATTTCTAAATTCAAAGTGTAAAATGTCTTCACAGCTACCACGGCACATATTTTTATACCATATTTGGAAGGTTTGCTTGGCATATGTTGCCAAAAGCTTCAATAACCACAAAATGATGCAAGTTGTCAATTGTCATGTATTCAGATGGTGTATAAATTGCTTGACAGATCAAAACAAAGCTTTCAAAAACTGAGCAAATAGTAGGCAAAGTGTCAGATTTTTTTCTTTCTTGGTGGGTCTTTCTGTAGTCAAAATGTAGGCAATGTTGAAGGAAACCAAATCTCTTGAGTGTCATTATTGTTCTAAAAATCTCAGTGCCACATTCTCCATAAATTCTGCCACTTCCCATTAATCCTTTAGATTCTGATGATTAGAATGATAAAGTCCTGCTATGAACTTTTAGTTCAGATAGTGAAGTATCGTGATAAGTATATTTTTAAGTATTACTACTGATGTATATAGAATGTTTTCTTGTATCTCAGTATTAATGTATTTCAAAACATCTTGTAGCATATTATCCATTACAAACAATTTCCAACATTGAGTCACAGTGTCGGCATTCCATCCGATAGCTTTCACCCCTGGCAAGAACCTCTAACATTGGATCATTAAGGTATATGTGACCATTTGTAGCATTTTGACTACTCAAATATTTATTTACATTACTACTTTCTTCCCCATCTGAATCAAGGTCTTTGTTTTGTACTTCTCTGCCGTATCTGTCTGTCATATCTGTCATTCTTGGTAACTTCTTTGGCTCACACGATCCAAGTCATCATTGGTAGCTGAATCACCTGATGATTCACTTTCAACCTCCTCCCAAAGTTGTAAAAGCAGATTTTCAGGTGACATTGTACTAAATTGGGCCGATTCTACAAGAAAAATCAAAAGAGAGCATTTAATAAAAAATTATAAATACACAAAAATATAACAAGGTGCATAATGTGGGTAAAACTCACCCGTTTACACTTTGACAAGCGTGCATACACCTTGCCGTCCATCCTACCAAGTGGGTGAACACAAAGATCGCTTCCTGCATTCCCCTGGCGCAGCTACTGAGGCGCAACGCTGGCTACCGTTATGCTAAAGTACATATTTTCACTAGAAAAGTGTAGTGTGGGTGCCTGCGACTCAGTATGAGGAACTGGGGAAGAACAGCAGAACTTCAAATTCTGCAGACATGCAAAAGACCCCAAATCATAAAGGACGATTCATCCAGTTTCGTTCTTATGTCACGAGGATTGTTTTAAAATAAACACAATGTGCTCTTGAGGGTGACGATCTTGCCTACCAGGCCAGGGGCTGCGGAAGCCGGAAGCCAGGGAGGTTACGAGAGGGCAGTACTTTCCTCTTCCAGGTTCCTGGGCATAAAAATAGCACCTATGACCTGGCTGTCTGCAGCGACCCCAGTATGAAAATCCACGTTTCCTGTTTTTGCTCAGATTACAGAGTTTACATTTTTGAACACGGTGGAATTTCTTTTCTTTCTTTCTTTTTTTTTTTTTTTAGGGTACTGGGGATCAAACTCGGGACCTTCTGCTTATGAGGCAGGGTGGGGAACCACTGAGCTAAATCCTCAGCTAGAATTTCATTTTTTATGACACAGGCTGAAAAAAATTACAGCAAAAGTGAATTCGTCCAAGTTTATGAGGAATCGGGGAAGGGCGGAGCAGGATTTCTGAGAGAACATCTAGAGTAAAGCCACATGGCATCTGATGGTGACAGCTGGGGCGAGCAATTACCGGGGAAAAGTGGGGCCATGACACCACGCAGTTTCTTCTTTGAGCTCTTGGTTATTTCAGAGAGTGAATGCCTGCACAGGGCAAGAGGCTTAAAATCATCTATTAATGATGAGTGTTCATTTTACATACTCATGTATAGATAGTTGCCCAGAATTGTGCCTTCGTATGATTTCTGTAAATTATTCATTCTGTTTGGATTAGGTTTCTCAATCTGTCCGTGGGTTAATGTCTCTCATAAGATTTAGAAAACGATCATCTGGCCAAATGCTGCCTCTCTCCCTCCTCCCTTCTTTTTCTCTCCTCCTCCTCCTCCTCCTCCTCCTCCTCCGCCTCCCTCTCCCCCTTTTCTGGGAGTCCCACACCCATTCTGACGGTTTCACATCCAGTGCACTTTCCGCTTTGTTCTGCCCCCCATTTTCTCTCTGTCCTCTTCCGGATGTTCCTGCTGACCTGCCCGGAAGCTATGGCCCTGTGTCCTCCATCTGCTGCCGTAGCTTCGAGGATGGCATTCAATGATTTTTTTGTAACTTCCAATTTTCCATTGAAAGACTCTCTTCTTGCACCCATTTTCTCTAGGATTTACTCTGCTCTGAGCAGATTTATAAGAGGCTTGTATTTTGTGGGTATTGTGTGTGTGTGGCTAAAACTCCCTTCTCTGGACCTTCTCTGAGCACACATACTCTTCCCGCAGAGGTGAGGACATGAGTCTGTCCCCCCAACAGTGTCGCCTCTCGCCTAGCTTTGCCCCCCACTTTCATCTTCCTGCATGCGTGCACTGTTTCCTAGACTTCTGTTATCAGGACCCGAGGAACCAGCCCGGGTTTGGGTGCTGCGGGCCAGCTCTGACCCTGCCCGTGCAGTCACCGGCTTTGGTGAGGGCTCAGTCTGGGCGTGTGGGCAGCACTGTCTCTGTCGTAAAAATCATTTGCACCATTTCTCCTGATGTGGCACATCCATACGGAAGATCACCACCCCCCACTCAGCCCACAATTGTGTAAAATCTTCCATTTTAAAAAACGACCCAAAATAGACCGAATGGCAACTTAATTGACATCACAATGTTGTTACAAACCATTCCATTAAAAACACAGGTAGTGTCACGTGCTGTCAGGGCTCCCGAAGAAGCAAGGTTGACGCTGATGTCGGAAGAGATGGAGAGGCGGGGCCAGCTCTGGCCCCCGGTGGGGGTTTCCAGCTGCTGCTGCTCAGGGTGGGTCCCCAAGGGTCCCTCCGAGGTCTGTGACCAGTGCCGGTGACCCCGCTGTCCCTAGAGCCTGCTGGACCCACGTCACCTGGAGAACTGGTCCCCGAGCCCACAGTTGTGCTGCCTCCTGCCTCTCCACCCGCCTCGTGCCCCTGGCCAGCCCGCTCCATGCTGGTCCCCCTGGGGCTCCAGGCCTGTGCCCACCCTGCCCAGTGCCTCACATGGCCAAGGGCCCAGAGTGGCACTGCCCGGAGTGGGCACCAGCACTGGCTTCTGCTGCTCGAGGGCCATTCTGCATTCCCACTGCTGTCCCCTCCAGGGAACTGCCAGTCTAGCCCCAGGTCACAGACACTCGGGAAGGCGAGACTGTGTCTTCCTTCCTTCCCCTTCTCCTCATTAGCTCAGGAATCTGTGACAAGGGTCACTTGCCCTGCGCTTCCCAGGCCTGGCTTCCCGTCCCTCCTGCAGTGACACTGTCCCCAAGTCCCCAGCCCCAGGAACCCACCTCCACCCTCCCCCTTTGGCCCCTCCCACCTGGGCTCCCTCTGAGATTCTGAGGGGAAGTTCCGGGCACCCTGGTTTGATCGGCTCGTGGGGTGACACAAATACATAGCCAAGCAGGAAGGACGCCTGTGTCCACTGCGGAGGAGCCTGGCCTTACCCCCCTCCCTGAGTTGGGGTCACCCAAAGGCCCACAGCACTGCCAGGCTCCTTCAGACACCATGTGGTACCAGGCTGCCCAGGAGGGGCTGCTTCAGGAGCTCGTGAGGCCCACACAGCACCCAGACCTACACCAGGATGGCTGGGCCTGGGATCCAGGACCAGGGAACTGGCATTGAGGTGGGATAGAGGAATAAAGACAGGTAGAAAGGAGACAAGGAAACTGAACAAGGGGGGATCAAATAATACAGTGAATAGCTACATTTAAACATTTATTACAGTGAAGGCATATTGGCAAGGATCTCCCTCAAATCCTCCCCTTGCATCAAACACACTCATCCCATCCTCCTTACCACTTCCGGCAGCAGCTCTGCAGTCCTCTTTCCTGAGTGTCTTTACGGGTTGTGATAAAAAATACGGTGACCGCTGCTGTTGAGTCCCACCCAATGGAAAGGCAGCTTGTGAAAACACGACGCTGGGTCCTCATCCACCTTATCCACTAGATCTGTCACCATGTGGCTTCCAGGTCTTCCTCAGTCAAAATGACCATGAAAGGGGACTCTTTGGGACTGATTCAGGACATCGAGGAAGAGCCAGGACAGCGCAACAAAAGACACTCAGGAAAGAGGACTCCAGAGCTGCTGCAGGAAGTGGTAGGGACCATGGGATGAGTGTGCTCAGAGTGAGGGGGAGGATTCTGAGGGGGACTTATGGCAATGCGTCTTTTATTATAGTGCGTTTTTATTTAGACACACTGTATTTTTATCACACTTTGTAATTTTAAAATTATAATTTTGAGAAAACTGCAGGTTCAAAATATAATCAGTTACCCAAGGTTACAATGACTTTTTCACCCCAGGCCTGTTTTTTTCTCCCTCCATTACTCCTCAGTCCTAAATTCCTAAGTCTTAAAGATATCAAAGGTCCACACATTTGGCCCGTGTTTTCCTTCTGATATTATAAGCCCATAAATTAAAAAAAAAATAGTACTATTCATTAGGTATCATTTTCCAAATTTCCAACACATCCACACTTTCTACACTCTAACCTGGTTGATAGGGTCAGTTTCTGCTTTAGCCCACTGACCAGTAACCCTGATCTGTCAACTTGACTGGATAAAGAAATGCTCAGAGGATTAGTAAAACAAAATTCCTGGTGTATCTGGGTAGTCATGGATTATGACCCTGGGTAGTGTGTCTGGTTCCTGCCCCTCTCTGTCTAGCACTGTTCCCCTGCTCTGCTTCCCAGCCACCATGAACTCAGCATCTTTGCTCCACCACACCCTTCTGCCGTGATACCCCTAGGAGCCAGCTTGCAATGGACTGAACCCCTGAAACTGTGAAACAAATAGACCTCTCCTCCTTGGAGTTATAGGGCTTTATGTTCCAGCAACAGGAAAACCAAGGAAACAGACACTAGATAAATGACAAATAACTCAAAAACACCCAGGACCCTCCATCTTGAGGGGTCCCCAAGACCACATAAAGACCCTCAACCCCTGACTACAGTGGGTCTACCTCTCCAGCACCTGCGTCCTTTCTCTGTGGGTGTGTACTTCTGTGATTCTGCCTAATAAATCTGCCTGTGCCCCTCACTGACACGCTTTTCTGTGACAAGAATTAAGAACCTACCTGGGGTGAGTGGGGTCCCCATCTCCTCTTTAGGAGAAATCTCCAGCCTCATCTAGTGGCAGTGCTAAGCCACTGGAGGTGGGAGGCTGAGGGCCGGTATATCCAGCCCTGTCTGGTCCACAACCCATTGCCAACTCCACACCCTGCTGGGCTGATCTATGGTTGACATCTGGGGCTGCCCAGCCTGGGGTGGGCTTGCTCGGGTCCACGAGGGTCTCATGTGGGGGTTCTGCTATTTATCCTGGTAAACCATGGGACAAGAAACCAGAACAAAAGCCTGAGCCCATGTCACCTGCCTCATCCACTCCTCCAAGAACATTCCAGCGCATTCTTTTGCTGCCCAAAGGACACAGGGCTGGAGGAGAACTTCAAGGCTCCCGACAAGCAAGGGAGGTGAGCCTGGCAGGCAGCTCTGGGTGACGATGGCAGCTGAGCCAATGCTCTGACACCCTTCACACTCTGGCAGCCTCGGCCATGCTGGGAAGGGAAGGACCCTGCCCTCCAGCTCCCTTCACCCTCCTTCTGGGGATCCTCTGGCCATCTGCCCTCTCACTGCCCTCTCTGGTGTCCTTGAGGTCTGCCACCTTCTCCCTACCTGATTCTGGCATCTGAGATAGCTGCATGGCCCTCTTGGGGGATACAGTGTCCTGCATGTGTGGGCCTGGGGTCTGCCCTTCACAGGCATCCAGCCTCAGGAGCAGCAGGAAGAGCTGGGTTATGGAAGTATGAGTGAACGTGGTCCTCCTGATGTAAAGAGCATGGTGAACAAAGTAAAATGGAGCTCATGACGATTGGTGTTTTAGGTGCAAAAGGACGGGTTGGTTCTCCAAAGCAGCCTGTTTTGGAGCACCAGGTTGAATTTTTGGTTTTCCTGGAGTTTGTCCTCTGGGACATTCTGGGCAGAGGCAGGAAGGAAGGAAGCCA